GCGTTCTTGTGGACTTGTGAAACGTCATTGCCCAAAAACCCGCGTAATTTTCTAAATATTACTGTTATTGTGTCATAAAATGTAGTTTTAAGGGTTTTTCAGGCAAGAATGTAATTGTTTAAAACTCAAATCTGCGGTTTATTTATAAAGATAGCACCTATTTGAAAATTTGCTATGCCAATTTCGGAGTTCCAGGCGATCAGCGGGCGCTCAGTGCTCATGTATCCGCATAAAGCAGCCTTAGCTCGGCTAGTCCTTCCGACATTTGCCACTGGCTCTGATGTCTCTGTAGTGATTAAACATGAGATAGAATTATTTATAATGGCTATTATTGTTCATTAAAACGGACATTTAACAAAAAGAGGCAGAGTTGTGCTTATTGTCACGGTTCATCGTAGATCGCTACTTTCCGGCATACACCACGCCTATCAAGAAGGGTACTATTGGCAGTGGAAAATCAAGCCTGATCAGGGTTACCCGTACCGAATCGTACTGTACTGAACTGTACCGCTCAGTGGAAACGAGCCATAAGATCTATATATTTATTTATAAAATGAATTTTCATTTCATGCTGACTTTTAATAGTTCTTCAACATCTGTATTCTTCAGCCAGTGTGGAGAGAACACCGCACCACAGCAAAATCTATAGTCTAAGTTAAGTTCGCGACACAAAATAATTTAAAACTGCAATAAAATGTGGATGCAAAAACAGATAGACTACAAAACCAGTCCAATTTTTGAACAGATGACTCTTATAAACTCTGACTCTTGCAATTAATCTGTGAAAACGACTCTCAAATCTTAAAGAGACCTTCAAACCAATGAGTTGTTAATTTAAACTGGCGAAAAAGACTCAATGTAGTCTCAATGAAGTAATTATAAAATTGCATATACAGATGTACTTAAGTCCTAATTAAACTGGTAAAAAAAAAACCCACTAAAGTTCAACTAAATGCATTTAATATAAATTTAAGATTTTTAATAGATTCTCATTCAATTGCAAATAACATGCAATAAAGTATCTGAAAACATTACATTCAGTTTGCACTTAAATATATTCTTTTAAAGTATATTATTCATTTAATAAGTACTCTTTTTTTCTAAGTATGCTACAGTCAAGTGTACTTCTTTTTATATGATTAATAATGTGATCAATTACTGAAATCATTAAGACAGCTGAACGATCACCCCCCCACCCCACTTACTTAATATGCAAGCATTTTGTGCATACATTTCAGACTTGGTGTGAATAGGCCTCAAAAAGCCCTTACATTTTCATGTTGACCCTTGGCTACAGAGACGCTCAGGATGTTGCAGCACCCCTGGCAAGACCTCACCGATCCCACCTTTACTTAATATGCAAGCATCTTGTGAACAAATTTCAGACTTGGTGTGAACTGGCCTCAAAAAGCCCTTACATTTCATTTTGACCCTTGGCTACAGAGGTGCTTAGAATGTTGCAGGACCCCTGGCTCGTCCCTTTTAGACCGCAGATGACCAGAGAGTGAAATTCTCCGCTCATCTCCTTATCACAAAACCGTCACAACACCCCAACACACGACAGCAGAGCCAGCGCACACGGCAGTCGGGGGGGCCGAGGGGGGGTCACACCGACACGCAAACACGTTCAACCTCTGACTCTCCCTCTGTGCTTTTCACTGAAAGCCCCATCTGTTTGTCTCAGGTGTAGTGTGACCCCCCCCTCACAAGAAGCCCCCCTGTGGCCAGGCTGGGGTACTGCAGTACCTTGTTGGTGCACTGCCTGACTGTGTTGATGAGCTCCTGAATAACCAGATCGATACATTTCAGACAAGGCTCTTTCAGCTTAATGATCTGCTTTTTCACGATGGCTTCAAACGCCAGATCTGGAGTGAACAGCCCAGTTCTGAGAACGCACAGGACAGACAGACAGCAGGACGTAAGAGGACGGAGACAAACAGTGAGGAGAAAGAAAAACAACAAAAGTGCCAAAAAAAATAACTCAAAGACAGATATTTGTGACAATGATATTAAGACAGAAGTGAAACCACGTGAAATTAGGATACTTGAAGGTGAAGTGGAGGGAAAGAAGAGGATAAAGACAACGTTTTAGCTCACAAAGACTAAAAAAAATCAAATAAAGTGAGTTCTAAATAAGAAACGGACAGATTAGTGTGGCTCACTGTGGGGAAAAAGAAGTCAATTAGACATTTCAGAGACAACAAGGTTTCTCTTAAAATCACTTTAGGCCATGCCCTCATGACACCGTTTATTGAGGTCGCGGATACATTTTTGAGGGTCTCACAAGAGAGACAAATCGCAGCCTAACTGATGCTCACTTTGATGGTAGACTCATATTAAGCAACTCAATCTAGTCTGGCTCAAAACTAAGAGCAGACGAGGGTAGAATTTGACAAGACAGAGTCCACATTAAGCCAAAGTCAAAGACTATATTCTCATGGTCTCAATCTTGGTCCTTGAGTCCAAGATCACATTTCCAAGATCTTGGTCCTTGAGTACGAGTTCAAGACCATATTTCCATGCTCTTGATTTTGGTCCTCGATTCCAAGATCACAATTTTATTATCTTGGTCTTGGTCCTCGAATCAGTTCTTAAAGACCGTATTTTCATGTTCTTGTTCCTAGAAACCAAGTTCAAGACCATATGTGACCGTGGACCACAAAACCAGTCATAAGGGTCAATGTTTTTAAATTGAGATGTATACATCATCTGAAAGCTGAATAAATAAGCTGTATAGGTATAGGATAGGACAATATTTGGCCGAGATACAACTATTTGAAAATCTGGAATCTGAGGGTGCAAAAAAATCAGAATATTGAGAAAATCGCCTTTAAAGTTGTCCAAATGAAGTTCTTAGCAATGCATATTACTAATCAAAAATTAAGTTTTAATATATTTACGGTAGGAAATTTACAAAATATCTTCATGGAACAAGATCTTTACTTAATATAGGGAAAAAGTATTGCACGCGAGTGCTTTGTAAACATCCTTAAATATACAAAGCATCATGAAGCTTTGCGATGCAGTAACAGTCAGATCCAAAACATCTGCTTCATCTTTCAACAGCAGTTTCTTTGTGAATGGATTACAAAACACTGGTGCAATCCTCGACAGAACCCGTGTCTCGACCCCTTTCACATCAGCTGTTCAGAAAACCAGTGTACTTCAGTTCAGAAGAGCGCGTTTGTTTTAAATCGTGGTTTATAAAACAGTCTGTTACTAAAAATAATGAGTAGCTGTGTAACTGCAGTACAAGTAAACTACGTTACCCATAATGCCGTCTTCCCACAGTTCCATAGACCTCCTGCGTCTGTTTTTAGACTTTGGCTGCCTCTGAAATTGCATACTCTCCAGTAGGTACTTTTTTGAATAAGTAATTACTTCACGGCCGCAAAAAGAGTATGTTCTATATAGTATGGATGTAATCTGGAAGTACTACATTCACATCCCTACTCTTTTATGAGTACTGTGGATTCGGACTTGCTTCTTTTGTCATATACTGTTTTTCGCCTACTATATAGTAGGGAAGTATGTTTCGGATGCAGCCATCATGCTTGTAGATATAGGGACCACACTGACTAGATAAGCACAATTTGAGACGTCAAGACATTAGGGACCTACTTTTTATCTTAATTTTAAGAACTTTATATGTACATTTCTAATTTTGTTCTACTCTTTTGTACTACTACAAATGATTACTAAAAACACTTACTGTTTGCACTGTACTTGTTGTATAAAAGAGCATCTATTAGCTCTTTCAGTCATTCCTTCCTGATTTCTCTGAAGTTTCAGAGATGAATAAAGCTCTCAGAAACCGCACTCTTCCGGACTGATGCTTTCTTCTGGCTGTTTAGAAATCCAATCCATAGAAATCCATTAACAAGTGCTGATTGTGTTTTAGTTTAAACATAAGAATCACAAAACGCACAATGCCACATTTAATGTTTATTTAAAATATTAAGCTGCATGATAATATTCCATGTTATAATTACTATGTAGTATAAAACTCATTTGATTTAAAAACAATGAAGGAATGAATGGAGCAGCACAGAATGAAGGAGACGTATAAAAGGTTTGGAGACAGAAAGCGAGAGAAGTGATGAACAGCCAAACCATCAGAAGGAGCGAGTGGTTCACAGAGTATCACGCCGTCTCGATCTGGCGCAGGACGATGGTTTTGGGGTTGATGGCCACGTTCTTGGTGGTGTTGTGTGTCTTATAGATGCCGATGAGACGGTCGGCCATCTCAAACATGTTGTTCCTCAGGGAGATGATGATGAACTGAGCGTTCTTGGTTTGCTCCTGCAATAATGTGGGAAAGTTCAACAGAAACATGTTAGAATTAGCATTGCACTGATTGCCTGTATAGCTGAACTCCTTCAAATCAGCAATGGCTTTAACAATCAGTCATCCTGTTACAAGACACACTTATTCATTCATTTTTATATAATTTGACCCACACAATGTATTTTTGGCTATTGCTACAAATATACCCCAGCGACTTAAGACTGGTTTTGTGGTCCAGGGTCACATATTTTCATGGTGTTGGTCTTGTCATGGACTCGGGAGCATGTGGACTCAAGTGTCTTGTCTTAAACTCATCCCTTTTCCAGTCTCAGTCTTGACTAGAACTCAACATTCTTTGGGTCTCGAACTCGATCTCGGGCTCGAATGAGCTGGACTACAACAGGGGAGCTGTAGTTCAACAAAGTGATCTGAGCTGGGCTTGAGCCAACACAGACAGTGTGATGTTTTCAATCATGTTATTGCCACACAGCAGGGCCTTGGTTTTTCGCGTAGGGTCATCCGGGCGGAAGTTCTTATACTCTTCCACCTCTTTTTCCAGAGAGAGAAGCTGAGACTGGAGTTTGCTGCGCAAGCCGGGTAGCGTGTCCCGGATGTGGTTGGTCAATTGCTAAAAAAAAACAAGAGGAAGTGAGAATGCGATATACAAATAGAGGCACAAAACAGAAGGTGACATTGACTAAATGAAGTGATTTTTAGGCATTAGCTTCATTTACATAACTGTACACAAATCTTTTCTGAAATGGCCAGTTATTTATGCAAATCCATGGCTGCATTTTGTGTGTGAGCGATTTGGTCCTACCTGGTTGAGGGTCTTCTGCAGGTGTGGTGTTCCCATTCGTTCAGCCATGTGTCTGTAACTGGGATGGGACAGGAAGAACTTCCTTTCTGCTGCCAGTGCAGCACGAATGTCCTTCCTGCCATCTATGTCTTTCTGACTACGGTTCACTACGCCAATATAACCTGACAGGGAAAGTGGCATTAAACAGAGTGTGCCAGTGCAATGATAGAAATGTGTCAACTGGAACTTTGCTCTATTGTTTATACCGCGGCTGATATATCCACTAACATGCTTGACATTATTTACATGTAAGAATAACAGAGACACAGTAAGGAATGTAAAAATACAGAACAGGACATTCAGGACAGTCCAAAACAAGTCAAGACAAGAAGAAAGAACTTTCAAATAATATAGAGCAAGTCAACAAAAAAAATATGGGAAGCCCTTTCTCCTCCTAGAGAATATTATATTATATTATATTACATTACATTTTATTTACATTTAGTCATTTAGTAGATGCTTTTATCCAAAGAGACTTACAAACGAGGACAAAGAAGTAATCAAAACCAAAAAAAAGGGCAATAATATGCAAGTGCTGTGACAATTCTCGGTTAGCCTAACGCAGTACACGTTTTTTTTTAAATAATAAATAGAAAGTAAAACAAGTAGATAGAATAGAAAAAGAAAAGGGAACGGTAGTGTTAGAGGGTCTTTTTTTTATAAAAATAAAACAAGTCAAAGGAATAGAAAATGCTAGTGTTAGAGGGTCATTTTTTTATAATAAATAAAAAGAAAACAAGAAAATAGAGTAGAAAAAATATAATATTATAAAAAATATCATATAATATAAAATTATAAATATAAAATGATATTATATATGATATGTTATTATATTATATTTATTATAATATATTATATAATATAATTTTTTTTGTTGACTTCCAAATTACATGAGATGCACTGCTGTTCAAAATCTTGGTCAGACAGGTTTTTTTATTTTATTTTATTTTAAAAATTTATACTTTTATTCAGCAAAGATTCATTAAATTGATCAAAAATGACACTAAATACATTTATAATGTTTATAAAGATTTCTATTTCAAATGAATGCTGTTCTTTTACACTTTCTATTCACCAAAGATTTCTGAAGGCTCACGTGACACTGAAGACTGGAATAATGGCTGCTAAAAATTCGGCTTTGCATCACTGGAATAAATTACATTTTAAAATATAATACATAGAAAACAGCTATTTTAAATTGTAATATGTCACAATTTTACTGTATTTTTGATCCTTGGTGAGCATAAGAGACTTTTTTTCTCCAAAAAAATAAATTCTTACCGACCTCAAACGTTTGAATGGCAGTGTACAGTATATGGTTGCTGTGACATAAAATGACTCATAAGAAACTGCCATAAATGATACTCCTGTAATGTGATGGTGTTAAGTACAAACTGCCCACCTCTACGCAGTGGTAAGAGTTTATTTTCCATGATATCCCGGGCGTCTGTACCCTCATCCATTAGATCCAGTTTAGTAATCACACCAATGGTACGCAGTCCTGTTGAACCACAAACAAAAACACATTAAGAGCAGGGTTTGAGTTCAGTCCACTGGGCTCCCACTCTTTTGACCAATGAATGAACCTTTCTAGTCATTTAATATTACTGGACCAGAATTCAAAGTCAGGTTGATTCACTAATGAATCGTTCAGACCATTTGTCATTCACTAAAAAAACACCTCAAAAAAATGATTCACTCACAAATTTGACATCACTATGGTTTGCTATAGTTGATATTTTCAGGTTTTCCATGACTATGCGAACTCTATACACATCCTTTTGTTATTTTATCTGTGTGTAATAGGGATGTGCCGATACGAGTATCGGTACCGAACGGTTCACGGGGGAAAATTCCAAATGGAAGTGATCATTCCTAACCCCTTGGAGTGGGGGATTTTGGAGTGAGCAGGACACGTGTGTGCCATTATGTAGTCGTTTGGAATGCACTTGGCAAAGGGAGCAATGTAATTTCCTCATTATCTTCAGCTGGCATGTTCCCGTGACAATGCACTAACTAACCCGTCCATCACTGATGGACACCAGCATAAAAAAATATATATATACATTTAATATTTTTTAAAAGTTTTATATATATTATTTTTTATATATTATATAGCATATTTTAAAAACGTTTTAAAATATAAAATGTATGTTTATTTGCAACAGTTATGCTAACAACAATAAAAATAAATTTATGACAGTAAAACAGCGACATCTGCTGACGGACACTGTGCTGCGTTGTCACAGGAACATGCCAGCTGAAGATAACGAGGAAATTACATCGCTCTCTTTTGCCAAGTGCATTCCAAACGACTACATAATGGCACGCACGTGCCCTGCTCACTCCAAAGTCCCCACTCCAAGGGGATAGAGATGATCACTTCCATTTGGAATTTGCCCCGTGAATCGTTCGGTACCGATACTCATACCGGCACACCCCTAGTGTGTAACCCTCCCAGCAATCCTCACCTTGAGGGTCCACCTCCTTAGACAGCTTGAGAGCGTCTGAGTTGGCCAGGTCAGTGTTGGCCGGGGTGACGGCGAGGATCAGGCAGCTTTCCCTTGTGACGAACTGCATAAGCATGTCTCGAATCTGGTGCTCGATGTCTGGCGGCTGGTCGCCCACGGCAACCTTAGTCATTCCGGGCAAATCGATGAGAGTCAGATTCAATACTGTTGAACAGAGAAAGAGATGAGTGACATTTTAACAATGGCTGCCGAGTGTGGACTGAGGAAAGCTGCGGTCTTGGGGAGTCTTGTGCTGTATTACCGTGTGGCGAGTAAACCCTCAGGTTGATGGGAATTGGAGAGATGCCCTTATTGGACCCGGTAATCCTGTCGGTCTCTGCTTCAATTTCCTGCCGGACTTCATCAAAGTCCACGAACTTCCTTCCTTTGCAGTGCAAGAATTCCGCATATTCTGCAGAGAGAGAGATGGACATTAAATTTATATATAT